GCTTAACATGATAAATATAGCAACCTCTATGAATCAGGATTTCTAAAAAAAAAAAAAAAAAAAGTTGCATAAAATGATGTTGCTATATGTAATGCTAGCTGTATATATGGATTTAAAAAATGCATGAAATAATGTTGATATATTTAATGCTAACCTATACATAGATTTACAAAAAATCATGAAATGATGTTGATATGTTTTATGTAATGTTAATCTATACAGAGATTAATAAAGATTTTTATATCACAACTAAAAAGTAATGTAGAATATTCTGATAGTTTACAAACCAGAAGACACAATACATATAAATTGAGACACTAATCATAATTTAAATTCCAAGATTATTGATGGTTTTGACAACCTGTGGTTCTACTGTACCAGTAGAGCTACAAGTCCCAGCTTGTACTTCAAATTACAGGACATGTTAGATCCCATAGTGCCAACGCTACTGCCAGGGATCTGCATGTTGGCTGATCCAAGATTATATCATTACAGCACCGAGAAAATGCCAAAGTAAGAGAGAACATTGCACCGTGTCCCTTCTCTTTACATTGTAAGCTCTCACACGTAGGGCCACTTTACCCTTCTATCATTAACTGTATTGTAACTGTAAAGCACTGTGCAAACTGTTGGTGCTATAGAAATCCTGTATAATAACAATACTGTGTAATGAAAATTATTTTACACATAAGCCATTTACTGTCTACTAAAATTTGTTAATAAAGTAAAATGACAAAACATTATTTAACATTCCATGTTAAAACTAGAACAGTAATAATGAAGCTCTCTGTATCTATATCAATACAAATCTGTATCAATAATCTTCCTTTAGGTCAAAATTAAATCTAAGAAAAAACAAATGCCCCACTGCCAATAGTAACATGAACATCAGAAAGTTAAAACTGAAGACTATAGTGAAAGAAGTGTAAAACAACACACCTTCTAATGTACAAACATTTCCATACCTCTCAAGCCTTGCTGACAGGTCAGTAGTACAAAGCACCTTTGGTGGAGGAGTCACTGGCAGTCACAAGGTTTGCAGCTCATGCATATGTTTATTGGTCAGCAGCAAAGGACCATTTACATTCCTTGGAAGGTATTTGCTCAGGGCACCTGTAATTAGCCTGCGTGGGTGGAGTTGATAGGGAGGGGGCAGGCTTAACATTTCTTATTAGCAGTACCTCAAAAGCACATTAAGCATTATCAGGGAAGTAAAGGATATGATTGGAATTTGAAGAACACAATCAAGTGTGAAGAAAAAGGAAAATCACATCATGGGCATGAAATTTCACAGTTTGGGATTTATTATACATAATGCCCTTTCAAGGCAGAATATTAAGTGGCCATTGCGGAGTGATTTAGGTACAAACAACTTCACCCTAGCACAAGGCGTTGTGCAAACAGTGTTACCTAGCAGATTAGATAAAGTGCAGGATTGCTTGGCAGTACATTGATCTGATAAAGGAAGGAGAGAACTGGGGAAGGGAAGAAAAAATATGAATTTGGAACATGATAAGACTATCAAAAGCCATTTCTTGTTTGGTGAAATCTAAAGAGTATATTCAGCATCAGTTCTTAGGGACACAGAACTGCTAGATTTTCTATTAAACACTTTCCAGCAAGGATGGACAACTTTCACATATTTTTAATCACAATGCATTACAAAACGCAGCCATACACACAAGGAGATCATTATTGGCACCTGCTAGCACCAAAGGCTGGGAGACCTCAGGGAAGCCACACATAGCTGTTTATTGAGCACTCTGCTGAGAACTTGCTGTCAGTGTGATCGGATTGTTTTCCATTAGTTTTTTCATTCTTCAATACAATAGTACAAATAAGTACAAAACAGTACAGAAAAAATATAAGAAGAGTATCAAAGCACGATACATCCATGAAGTTACATTCTTGTACATGACATTAAATGTATTGCTTAAGATGCTAAACCTGTACATTTCTTAACTACTTTCATTAATTCTTCCACAGAATCTCCTTTCACCGAGCCCCTCCTTCCAGAGCCTGGGGGAGGTTCCCAGCACCCATTGGCCCTGAGGTTCAATCCCATCAGCACTGTCCGCCCGGGAGGGGGGGGGGTGTTGGGGAAACCCATCTATCGACCCTTGGCCCCAATCCCCACTCCATAACAGCCAGCAGAACATAAACAGATCAAAGGTGTAGATGAAGAAGTAGGTAGGGAGGAGTCAAATAAGAGAACAGAGAAAGAAAAAAGGATAAGGAAGAATCAACGAGCCGTTACTGTGGCTCAAGGGGGCTTCAGCTAACCCGATTGAGCAGAGCATGTGAGGTAGTCAATCCAAGGTTCCCAAGTTCTGTCAAAGTTTGATAACTTGTCCTGCAGAATGGCAGATAAGTGTTTGTTAAACATTATGCAGGACAATTTAGACTTTACTAGGTCAAAAGGGATCACTGGCGATTTCCAACATCTTGCTATTGTGATCCTTGCAGCTATGAAAATGAATGTTATGAGGTGTTGAGATGGTCTTGAGATCCCTTTCGCAGGACAGCCCAAGAGAGCTTGTCACAGGGATTTAATCAAATTTACCCCTGTAAGGGAATAAAGGAGGTTATAGATGTGGATCCAGAATCTACGGACCTTTGGGCATGACCACAAAACAAGATACGCTGTCCCTTCCTGACCGCAGGCCTCGGAAACAGAGGAAGTATCTAGTATCCACTGGGCTATCCTGGCTGGAACCATGTACCACCTTAGTAATACTTTGTAATTAGCCTCAATTAAAGATGTGTTCAAAATCGCTTTGGCGGCCCCTTGGGCTACTTTGTGCCATTCTGCAGGTTCAATGGACTCGTTCATATCTTGCTCCTATCTGGTCATATAGGGAAGTTAGCCATCTGAGAGGACAAGATAATGTATACCTTTGATATGTAGCCCGAGCATTTATCAATATTCAAACATAAACGTTCCATAGAAGTAGTATTCGTGAGATCGGAACCTTGTTTCAACGAGGATATGAAATTAACTTTTTGGGTATAATGATGGTATTCAGTGGGTGGCATATCATATTTTTCTTTAAGATAGTGGATGGTCCTGATCCCTCTATGGTCAAAAAAATCTGCTATATGTAATAGCCCTTTGTTTGTCTACCATGAAAATGTTTGGGGGAGGAGACCCGGGGTGAATGAGGGGTTTGCCAATAATGGTACGAGTGGCGTGTGGGCTGATCGAAATGAATGTCTTGAGGATAACCTATCCCACATATTCATTATGAAAGATAAAGTGGGGCATAGGAGTGGAGGAAGAGCTTCAGATGGGAGCCATATCAAATGGGAGACTGGGGTTGTGGGCATGATTGAAGCTTCAAGCTGCATCCGAGCGGGGCAGCCGTGTTTTATATGGTGAATGATCAGGGATGCTATCTGAGTTGCATGATAATAACGCAGCACATCAGGGACCCCCAGTCCCCCTTGTAGCCTAGGGGTATGAAGGTTTATTTGTTCATCCTAAGCACCTTGTTTCCCCAAATGTATGCTGATACTGAGAACTGAACCTTCTTTAGGTCCCATATATTTATAGACACTGGAAGCGTCCTAAAAAGGTATAACAATTTAGGTAACACATTCATTCTGAGCGAGTGCAGTCTGCCGAACCATGATGGGGGGCTAATTGACCAGCGTTTCATATCTTCTTAGAGTGTTTTATATAGTGGGGGGAAATTCTGTTTGTACAGTTTGAAAATTTGGAATAACTTTATTCCTAAGTAGGGAAGAGCACTGTCATCAGATTGTGAATGTATGAATGATAAACCTTGCAAATTTTGGCGTAAATTTATCATGCAGTGGTAAATTACTGCTGCCGAGTTCTCTGGCAGTCTCAGAGACAGCTCTGAGTGCCTGTTTATGAAGCGGTATAGATCGCTTCTCCTAATGAGGAGTGAAGCAATCTACGAATGCTTTGAACTCTGGAAAATGGCCACTGTTGCTATAATTTTTGTGAGATATAGCAAGATTACAGTAACAAGAGATCAGTAAAACACACAGCCGTGGGTTTATTAAGCAGCGGTGAATTACTGCTGCTGAGTTGGCAGCTCTCCTCAGTACACACAATCATATACAAAAATTATATATATATACTGTATATATACATACATATATATTAATATATGTATACATACATATATATTAATATATATACACTATATTGCCAAAAGTATTGGGACGCCTGCCTTTACACTCACATGAACTTTAATGACATCCCAGTCAAAGTCCGTAGGGTTCAATAATGAGTTGGCCCACCCTTTGCAGCTATAACAGCTTCAACTCTTCTGGGAAGGCTGTCCACAAGGTTTAAGAGTGTGTCTATGGGAATGTTTGACCATTCCTCCAGAAGTGCATTTGTGAGGTCAGGCACTGATGTCTAACGAGAAGGCCTGGCTCGCAGTCTCTGCTCTAATTCATCCAAAAGGTGTTCTATCGGGTTGAGGTCAGGACTCTGAGCAGGCCAGTCAAGTTCCTCCACCCCAAAGTTGCTCATCCATGTCTTTATGGACCTTGCTTTGTGCAATTGTGCGCGGTCATGTTGGAACAGGAAGGCGACATCCTGCTTTTACACGCATGTGAACTTTAATGGCATCCCAGTCTTAGTCTGTAGGGTTCAATATTGAGTTGGCCCATTCTTCCAGAAGCACATTTGTGATTTCAGGCATTGATGTATGACAAGAAGGCCTGGTTCTAATTCATCCCAAAGGTGTTTTATTGGGTTGCGGTCAGGACTCTGTGCAGACCAGTCAAGTTCTTTCAACCCAAACTCGCTCATTTATGTCTTTATGGACCTTGCTTTGTGCACTGGTGCACAGTCATGTTGGAACAGAAAGGGACCATCCCCAAACTGTTCCCACAAAGCATGAAATTGATCAAAATGTCTTGGTATGCTGACGCCTTAAGAGTTCCTTTCACTGGAACTAAGGGGCCAAGCCCAACCTCTGATAAAAAACCCCACACTATAATCCCCCCTCCACCAAACTTTACACTTGGCACAATGCAGTCAGGCAAGTACTGTTCTCCTGGCAACCGCCAAACCCAGACACATCCATCAGATTGCCAGATAGAGAAGCGTGATTCATCACTCCAGAGAACACGTCTCCACTGCTCTAGAGTCCAGTGGTGGTGTGCCTTACACCACTGCATCCAGTGCTTTGCATTGAACTTGGTGATGTAAGGCTTGGATGCAGCTGCTCAGCCATGGAAACCCATTCCATGAAGCTCTCTACGTACTGTTGTGCTAATCTGAAGGTCTCATGAAGTTTGGAGGTCTTTAGCTATTGACTCTGCAGACAATTGGCAACTTCTGCACACTGTGCGCTTCAGCATGCGCTGACCCTACTCTGTCATTTTACGTGAGTTGTTGTTGTTCCCAGTTGCTTTCACTTTATTATAATACCATTAACTGTTGACCATGGAATATTTAGTAGCAAGGAAATTTCACGGATGGACTTATTGCACAGGTAACAACTTATCATGGTACCACGCTTGAATTCACTGAGCTCCTGAGAGCGACCCATTCTTTCATAAATGTTTGTAGAAGCAGTCTGCATGCCTAGGTGCTTGATTTTATACACCTGTGGCCATGGAGGTGATTGGAACACCTGAATCCAATGATTTGGAGGGGAGTCACGATACTTTTGGCAATATAGTGTATATATATATATATATATATATATATATACACACACACACAAATAGAACACACACACACACATAGTGTTTCTAAACTGCTCTAGGGTTTTTTTTTGGGGGGGGGGGGGGGGTTGTGAAAGGCAGGGGGCTTTTCCACTGTCTTGGAGGCTCTTAAGGAAGAAGATTCCTCCCCAGTACTTCTTCACTCCTCTCTCATGACATCGCACCCTCATAAACTATCTGTTCCTGTTTCTGTCGATGACAGATTCTCTATGTGCTGAAAAGATCAGTGGAGAACGTGTTCCTCAGGATCGCTTCTGAACTCAGTTTTCATAAACGCACACCTACATTTACTACACTCTATACTAACCTTTATCAGCTCTAGGAACATAATTTTTAAAGTGGGACCAAAAAGAAAGTGAAAACAAATGTATGCAGTCATCCCTGACCTCTAACCTATCCATATCACTTGACTTTGAAACTTATTTAAAACGAAGCTTAGGTTCACACTAATGCCTTTGCATGTTAATTTTTTTAATGCATTTTTCATGTTTCCATTTGTAGGCAGGTTGCCTACTGCTATTCAGCTTAGATGATGCCCATTGTGCTGTCTTTGCAGGGGCTTTGTTTTGGCAGGTTTTTGGGTCTGACCCATTGGTCCTGGAACATATAAAAGAGGACAGGGGTCTGGATCTGTGGCACTCTAGTCTTAAGTCTAGTATTGCTGTCAGCTTCTAGCCAGTTCCTGTCTGTCATGCTAAATCCAGAGTTCCTGCTCATGATAACCTCGTTTCCAATGTAGGGGAACTGCTGGGATCCCTATTCTGCCCTCAAGATACCAGCCCTGAATACCGCCAACATGGACTCAGCCAAACATGACTCCTACTTTTGCTGGTATGCTGGGGCAGCCGCTGTAGTTAGTGTCTAGGTTAAGGGAAAGACTGTTGCTGTTTCTGGAATTACCAAGTTTTTCAGTAAAGCTTTTGAAGCTTTGTCCTTGCCTGGTCTGAAGTTACTAAAGATGTGTAATGCAACTAACTAGCACACACATGTAGTTTACAACCTGGGTCAGAAAGCACATTGGAGTAGCCCCATAAGAGTTAACACAGTGTGGCACACAAGCAAATGGTTACCAAGGGCAAAGGAATTTTAACAAGCAAGCTGTTGTGAAGCATGTACCTGTGCTGAGGACATTATCTCCCTAGGCAGTGTGTCTCCCATAGCAATGGGAGCAGATCATCGCTCAGAGGTCCCTAGCTTGTGCACTAGGTAAGGAAGAGAAAGAATTAATGCAGATAACTTGTGGAGTCCGCATTACATGTTTGATGGGGCTCCCTTCTGATACTGGGTGTGAGGTAGTGAAAAGTGGACAAGTGGAGAGGGCATCTGCTCAGCGTGTCCCTCCTAAATGCAACAAGTTACAGTTACATGAAGACAAGACAGAGTTAACTGACGGACAGTTTATTGATCAAGTGTACATGGTGCACTGCCAACTCTAAAATCACGGGTCTGCCTTAATGTTGAGTTATCCCGGAAAGTGACCAATTTTGTATGATCAGCACAACACTTAAAGGATAAGTACACCTTTGGGAATATGTTACATGTTCCACCAGTTCCACCACATGTTCCCAATGCTACAGCCACTGCCTGCTGCACAACCCCCCCACAGTGACAGAAGTACAGGGAGAAGCTAGAAGTTTCCCGTACTGGCTGGCACTTTCTAAAAACAGGCTGGTCATGTGGGGATCCGCCCACACAGCCACCTCATTCATTCACAGTGTTCTGTGGATGAGTGAACTACAAGTCCCAACACCCTTAGCGGCTGTCGATTTGAAGTTCTCAGTGAACTACCACAGCACTGTGGAGCACTGTGGTAGTTCACTACATCTTCCTGTCAGTATATCTGTTTGTCTGTACATCCTGTATGGGGAAGCAGATATACTGATAGGTCTGCATGGCACCAGCGATCTACTGATAACTGGTGCAATGCTTTACAGGCTCCTGCAACCAAAAAATATTAAATGCACATTTTTTACCTGCAAAAAAATGTGCAATTATTATTTTTGGTCAAAAGGTGAAACTTATCCTTTAAGCCTGGTACAGACATTAAGTGTATTAAGTGGGCAGAACAAAAAAAACTGAGGCGCTTGTAAGGAAGTCTTTTTACAACAATACGATGTTAGTGCAGTGATTTCCCCGCTGAGCTATTGTGTTCTAACAGGGGGGCACTCCCGCTACAGCACACTGGTCAACGTCATTGGCTGACAGCACTGATCAGATTCTGATCGGCTGCTGGTTTTCCAAGCAAGCTCATTCGACAGAAGCCAGTTGTGAGATTGGCTTCTGTCAAACAGGGACCTGTAGTTACAGGATGAATGTTGGCCAGTATCTACTGTACCAAGGGGGTGAATAAGGTTCGGGAGGGCAGTATTTTCAACATGAAACCAAAATCAAGAACACGGGGACATGACTGTAAATTGAGGAAAGTTCAAAACTAATCTCAGAAAGTACTATTTTACTGAAAGAGTAGTTGATGCTGGAATACACTTCCAGCAGAGGTAGTGAGCCAGTCAACAGTAAATAGCTTCAAACATGCTTGGGACAAGCATAGATCTATGACAGACAAAAAAGTTAACAAAAAAATAACAATAAAAAAAAAACCAGCAACAACAACAAAAAAAAACAAAAAAAAACCCAACACTCCCCCCCCCCCAAAAAAAACATAAAACCCACCCCCCCCCCCCCCCCCCAAAAAAAAAAAAAAAAAGAAAAAAACGGCAGGGCAATGGACCACTCTGTCTTTTTCTGCTGTCACTTTTCTATGTTTCCAATATCCATACTAATGGCAATTTTCAGTGGATTTCAACCACTTTCCATTCCTGAGAATCTACCACACTCTAGTAAGGATGAGCATTAGACCCGCGAGAAACTTTCACAGAAGGCCCTCGGCTCAATCAGCTGCAATAATCCTACAGCCACGCGTAACAAAGGATGGGGGATGCTGGTGATATCACTGACCTAATATGACCACATGGCCATACTTAGTGACATTATCCAAGCTGAGCCCATTCCCTGCTACTAGTCTGATTAACCGGTAGACTGAATAATTGTTAAGTCAAAACAGGGTAACACATTGCCCCATAAATACAGTTTATGGAAAGAAAGATTTTAAAAATGCTAATTTTGTTGAAGGTGTTTAGATGTGTTTGATGCAAATTCAATCCAGTTTCCTAATTTGCAATTTTGACAAAAAATGGAAACTGAAGTTTTATAGCTCTTGTTCACACTTTCTATTCACAATTTCTAACTCTTACCAAACACTCCTATAGCTTTAGTAATGGCGTTAGACAGGCATTAATGAGCTTTAGTATGGGCATTAGACAGGCCTTAATGGGTGTTAGACAGGCGTTAATGAGCTTTAGTATGGGAGTTAAACTGCCTTTTTACAAGCATTAAAAATGCTCCCCAAATGCCCTATGAGCAGTTTTGAAGCATTCTATAAGCATTTGACAAGCATTAAAACCACACCACAAACTAAATAAACTGTAATGTTATTAACAGCCGCAACCGCATGGGAAATTCCCTGTAAACGCTTGCCAGTGCGCTTATGGAGTGTTAACATAGACTTGAATGGGAGGCGTTGAAAGGCTTCAAACTCCTTCTGACTCGACATGGGTCTTCAATTTTGAAGCAATGCAACGCTAACACTTCATGTTTTTATAATGTGAACAGCACTGTGTGCTGTCCATAGTATCATTTGCATAGGTGTTTGAGGAGCGTTAAAAACACCCCTCAAATGCCTGCTTTCAATGCCAGTGTGACCTAGGCCTAACACTAATAAAAACTAACAACTAGTCCCTCAAGGGCTTCTTAACATGGGAGGTGTTTCCTGGGCTTCCTCAACACATGATCACTATGATTAGCTGTCACAGCGATCACGTAATCAGGATCCCATCCTACCCAGGGGTGGACTGACAACTCATAGGGCCCCCGGGCAATAAGGGATCATGGGGCCCCTGTGTCCTTGCTTAAACTCAAAAAAGCCTATGAAAAAGGTACCAGGGGCATCTCATGGGGCCCCCTACTGACCCCAGGCCCTCAGGCAGTGCCCAAGTTTCCAAATGGTCAGTCCGCCCCTGATCCTACCAGTTCCTGATCATCAACAGTGGTCTTGGCCACAAATCGGCCACAGCGCTGGGGCACTGAGTGATCGCACTCACAATACAAAACAGAGACAAGGCGTTCTGCTGTGCTGCTACATATGTGCATATTGTTCAGAGATACAGTACGGGGACATGTACATGTATTGCAGATAAATACTGCATATTTTTTTTTTACATTTTGCCTTTAACTTATTAGACTGCAATTTCATAAGACAATGAACAAATAATAGGTAAAGTGATAGTACCTGTATACATTATGGCAGCTGCTGTGCTCCTTTTTTCCCGATACCATTTATGAAATAGAAAGTGGTTGATCAGATACTGCTTGTATATTGTACACAAATCCATTGCATGTATTGTAAAATAAAATAAACAGAAGACCTAATCTCATAGAGGGTGGGAAGAACACTGGCTGTCTATAATAAAAGCTAATCAGTACATAACAACAGTGTGGTCCTTAGACACACTTAGGCAAAGTAAACAGCACACCTACACAAAACAATAAAAGAGAGATGAGAAAAAAAAGAAATCCTAACTGAAACTGTCACTGTGAGGCTGCAATTTGTCAGTTCAGCGGGCAGTGCAGCCAACCAGCGGGAGAAAGAGAAAGAGGTGTGACCCACCTATGATTAACAGGTCACAGCCCAGCAAGGATCATACAAAAATAAACATCAATGATAGCAGGAACTGATAGTGAAGAGGTGGACTACTTCTGTTTATTAATGAATTAGTCACAGATAAATGTTTTTTTTTTTAAAGCCAGTACTAATTGAACTGGGGTGGATCGCTCCAAAGGCTGAAATTCGATGGGGGAATTATTGCACCAAGATTACTTCCTGACTCAGAAGCAGTTTGTGTCA